CATGGCTTGCTGATGAGGGGTATCCCATTTGTAGGGCGTATCCTTTTTCAGTAGGTCGGTCAATGGCGCTGCTATCTTAGCGTACTGTGGCACGAACCTGTTGTAGTAGTTGGCGAAGCCTAGGAACTGCTGCAACTCCTTCACGTTCTCCGGTACTTTCCACTTCTTGACGGCTTCGATCTTCCGCGGGTCCACGTGTACGCCCTCGGCACTCACCATGTGCCCGAGAAACTGCACCTTTTTTAGTGCGAAGTCGCTCTTCGACAGTTTCACGTAGAACTTATTCTTCCGCAGGATCTCGAACACCTTCCGTAGATGCTCCACGTGCTCCTTCATGTTCTTGGAGTAGATGAGGATATCGTCCAGGTACACCACTACGCACTCGTCCAGCAGGGGCCGGAGAATATGGTTCATTTCCGCTTGGAACGTTGCTGGTGCGTTGCAGAGTCCGAACGGCATCACCAAGTATTCGTAGGAGCCGTATCGAGTACGGAACGCCGTCTTGTGGACCGAGTTGTCTGCCATCTTGATCTGCCAGTAACCCGATCGTAGGTCCAGCTTCGAGAATACTGTTGCTCCACGCAGTTGATCGAGTAGGTCGTCTATGCGCGGTATGGGATATTTGTTTTTGATTGTCTGTTTGTTCAGTGCGCGATAGTCGATGCACATCCGTAGACTGCCGTCTGGTTTTGGAGTGAAGAGGACTGGTGCACCGTAGGGAGAGGTGGATGGGCGGATCAGTTGTCTGTCCAGTAGATACTCTATCTGTTTCTTCATGTCTCTCAGTTCGGTCGGACTCAGTCGGTATGGTGCACGTGAGACGGGTTTCGCACCTGGTTCCTCCACGATCTCGTGCTCGTGGGTGCGTGCTGGAGGTACACCTGCAGGTAGGTCGTCGGGCATTATATCATTGTATTGCTCCAAGACCTCCTTTACTGCTGCAGGGAGCTCGGAACTCGGCTTCTCCTCCTCTGCTGCTGCCATGACCAGTGCTAGGTAACCCGTGTTACTCTCGTTCACCGTCTGTTCGAACCGTGCCAGTGTCGTTTCAGGTACGTCCCCTGTATCCGTCCAGCTTCGCAGTGCTATCCGCTTCCCGTTGTTGTAGATGCACACCTTGCTGTTGACCCAATCGATCTCGGGGTTGAACCGCTTCAGAAAATCTCGCCCCAAGATAAAATCTAACCCTTTGATGTTGGTGACTGGTAGCTTCGGCTTCCACCTCAACGCACCTATATGCAGCTGCAGTGATGCTTCGCCGTGGATAGGTAGCTTCGTACCGTCCACCATGGTTGCTGAAAACTGGGTCTCTTCCGCCTTCTCTCCAATTTTCTCCAATGCTCCGCGGTCGCACACCGAGTGGGACGCACCACTGTCCACCATTGCCTGGAGGCGTCGCCCATTGCAGATCACCTCGAGTAGTAGTGGTTTTTGCTGCTCCGCGTAACCGTAGATGGTCTCGCTTATAGGATCGTAGGGTACGTCAAATAGATCATCCCTCGGTCCTGCGCTCGAAGCTGCTGACTCCATATCAGTTTCCAACTGAGCAGGGTTAGAAGGATTTATCCGAGGCCGATTCAGCTTCGTCTTGGCCTGGAACCTTCCCTTAAGCCTTTGCAGCTGTGTAGGCTTCTCCTGTGGGCAATGGGGAGCCTTAACACTATGCTGCGGGGAGAGAATATGAACTCCTTGGAACGCACGACCCTTTTCAACGCTCCGGAGTGGTTTGCCCAACTTCTCAGGTACCTGAATAATTTCTAAAGGCTTTTTCTTGGCCTCGAAATCTCCCCTGGATTTTTTAAAGGCTTGAAAACCTTGAGAGGGAATATTCTTACTCTCGGGGGTGTTCGGCTGGAGTTTCCCGGTCGGTGCAGAGTCTTGTTTCGCGGAGCCTCCATTTGTCTCGGCGATTTCCCCTGTTGCTGGCCGGTCGTGGCGTTTTAAATTTGCGCCATCGTGTCCTCCTTTTTTCGCCATCGTGGATGTCGAACTGTTGTTGCCCTGTAGCTCCGCTAGTACCTTCTTCAACTTCCAACACGCCAAGAGTCGATGTCCTGCTGCGCCGCAAAATTCGCACTTCTCATATTTTGTCGGCCGCTGCTTCGCGTCGATCTTGTCCATATCCATCGGGTCGGCGGTCGTGGGTGGTGCCGATCGCTTCGTGTCGAATGATCTGTTCGGCACGTGGCGTCGTGTCTCGGGCTTACATCGCATTAGCGCATCAAATCTCTCTGCTGCACACACCATGTCGCGGTAGTTGTTGTAGTTTGCGGCAATCACCTGTCGGCGGACTTCCATCTTTAGCCCCTCAGTATACGCTTGGATTTTTTCCGCTTCGGTCAGGTCGGTAATTCGGTTGAAGAGGCTCTCCATCTGCTGCGTGTACTGTGTTACACTGCCGAACTGTTTATGCCGATGAATCTGCTGCCACGCCATGTAGCTGGAGTTGATTGGTTCGAAACGTTGAATTAAAGCTTCCCGAAACTGCGTCCATGACCCCTCGCCTCGGATCTTATTGCTGTTGTAAATCCACTCGAGCGCTGGGCCTCGTAACAGTGTCGCTGCGAGCTGAATCCGCATTGCATCGTGTGTCGGGGTCGTACAACCAACAGCCTCGAAGTAAATTTCGAGAGTCGCAATGAATCGACGAACATCAGTGTCTCTTGCATTCGGATTGAACGTCTCCGGTAGCCTCGGACGTGCCGCCTCAAGATTCACTGTAGCTGCTGCCGCTGCTGCTGGGTTAAGTGTCGGTATCGCCGCTGCTGCTGCTGACGTCGCTGCTGCATTCGCCGCTGCGTTCGCTGCTGCTATGGCGGCTGCCGACTGGTTCGCGAGAAGCTCCTCTATTCGCTGGAGTGCCGCTCGCGTCTGGTCCAGGCCGGTGTGTAACTCCATAATTTTCCGTACGGAATTATCACCGTTTTCCTCCATTTGGCGATTTATAAGAAGATTTGCGACGAAAATATATGAATTTTAGGCGCTGGTCATCTTACTGTGAGTCGAGTTGACTGCAGAAATGACGAGGGCTGATTCTGTAGGTCGCGTTATTCTCCCTTATTCGAAATTCGCGTCTGATCTCGGCCGTTGAGAAGAAATTCGATCCGACGCTCCAAATTCCAACGTTTTTGGGCGAAATTCTCGAGACCGTTGAGATTCGAATCGATCCGACGGTCGAAATTCCAACTTTTTCGCCACTGGACCTGAGGAGTGTTCGAAAACCGGTTCGAGGGGGACGTTAGAAAATAGCGCGGAACTGGTTTACGTACCCGAAATCGGCGCTTTCCGTCGTCGCCCCCGCGGTTTTAAAAGCTAGGTTTAAGCGGTCGAAAAACTTCGCTTGCAAACAGGCTCTGATTACCAAGTGTGAGGATCTAGGATCGAGCTTAGAAAAGAGAATTGTAATTGAATTGAATTGAATGATCACCTGGGTACAACACGAGGCTATATATAGGCTCGACACAAGGCCCTGTAACCAGGTGTTACGAGAAGGTTCCGCGGGTCGCGAAGCGTCCCGAACAGATCCTTCCCGAATTCGGTAGAAGGCAATTCGGTGGCAACCGAAAAGCCAGAATTCGGTGCACACAACCTAGCTCGGTGCTATAACTATAATAAAATATAGGAAAGCACCTAGCCTAGGAAATCAAGCAATACATGCATGCATATAATTATCCTGTGCTAGAAATAGCATCATAAAGTAAAGGCAAGCAAGCATAGCTGGCATAAGCCGTCGTACTCTCACAGATTTCCCAAGTGTGAAACTAATCGTGTGCTCTAGAGTAGTCACAAACTCCGTTGCGCAGCCTTAATTGACTCATTGGTTCGTGTGCAGATAATTCCCCTCACGTCAATACGATGATAGAGAATATTTCATTCACAAAAAGGTTGATCACAAACAAACGCAAGCACAAATTAATACTAACCCACCAAAAGCGAAAGCTAACAGCCCACCAAAATAACAACTAGCAACATACTCCGAATTGCCAACTTTCACCATGCGTAATCAGTTGGAACATACTCGCCCATGAACATTTATATGGGCCATACTTGTTCGTGGGAGCTCGTGGAAACTCGTGGAGATTCGTGGCCGTGACAGCTCATGAAAACACCTGACAATTCGCGTAGTTACCGACGGAGTTACGAATTCGCCGAATTTCTTCTCGCACTGGTTCGTCTGACTTCGAAATGAAATTTGCACGTCGCAAAACTCCCTGGCGAAAATTTCTTCTCGGAAGATGAAGACAAAACACTCGAGGGTTCCACAAATTCAATTGTGGACCCACGCGCCACCTCACTGCCACACTCGCGCGTGTGGCAGCAACTGAATTGCGGCCCTCAGGCCGAGCGTGTGCCTCGACTGACACCCTTCGGCCCTTGCTCCCATGATTGCGCAACAAGGCTCGGGCTCATGGCCCCGAGCCTTGACCAGCGCAAGACTGAGTCAAAGGGGCTGGTCAAAATCTTGAGCCCCACACCCAGCACACCAGAAACTTACCATGAACACTCATGAAAGGTACACAGAAACTCATGAAGAAAACATAAACAAGCCTGAACAAACATGAACGAAGCATAAACAGTCATGAACGAACATGATCGTACATGAACGCTCATGAGCGAACACGAACAGAATGCGAAGTCTCATGAACAGGACGCGAAGGTCCATGAACACTCATGTACCCTCGGAACTTCACATACATTCATGAAACGCCATAAACACACGAAACACACACGAACAATCATGAAAACTCATGAATGCAACCTCACACAAAAATGCCGATAACTCATGAACCGCTAAGGCGATTCACAAACCGTAAACGCCAAAATGAAAAACATACAAATGCGCATTCCACATGACACAAATTACCTCAAAACAGATGTCTTCAAATTTCACCTTGCTCGACAAATATGCGACAGGTTGACGTGCAAAATACATTTTGCACCCAACAAATTGTTGTCCTCAATCAAACTGCCCCCACCCCAAACTCCGTCCACAGGGCACGATGCGTCTTGAAAGGGAGCGCTTTAAAGCTCTCTGTCACAATGATTTGCACTTGGAGGCACTGGAGGTGTTGAAGGGATTCCTTGCCCCCTTCAACGCCGTCAGCAAGGCGGCGGAGGGGTCGCTCTACCCGACAATCTCCATGGTCATTCCAAGCTACAACGACATGCTTGATGGTTTGGAGGCGAAGCGCCAGGGCCGCCCGTCCACGCTGGTCATGGAGATGACCATTGCCGCGCTGGGGCACTTCAAGAAGTATGTGTATGCCAGCAGTGACGACCTGCTCATTGCCACGTTCCTAGATCCAGCGACGAGGGAGCGGTATTTCGCTCTAGGCACGTGGGAGAATCGGCATCCAGAGTTGGTTAGCCAGGGGGGCGGGAGGCGGGCAAGGGGTCCGGTGATGGTGGATGAGATCTTGATCCTGGTGCGCATACGTGTGGAGGCGTACCAGGCGCATGGCGGCGGAGGGGTCGCTCTACCCGACCATCTCCATGGTCATTCCAAGCTACAATGACATGCTTGATGGTTTGGAGGCGAAGCGCCAGGGCCGCCCGTCCACGCTGGTCATGGAGATGACCGTTGCCGCGCTGCGGCACTTCAAGAAGTATGTATATGCCAACAACGACGACCTGCTCATCGCCACGTTCCTAGATCCAGCGACGAGGGAGGGGTATTTCGCTCTAGGCACGTGGGAGAATCGGCATCCAGAGTTGGTTAGCCAGGGGGGTGGGAGGCGGGCGAGGGGTCCGGTGATGGTGGATGAGATCTTGATCCTGGTGCGCACACGTGTGGAGGCGTACCGGGTGCATGCAGCGGTGACAGCACCTCCACCTGCTACAGCAGCGCGTGCACCTGCCACCGACACTGAGGGGGATGAGCACATAGGCAGTAGGGCTGCTGGGGGGGCTAGGCCCTTGGGTGATGAGGTGGACAGATATGTGGCCCACGATGATACAGCAGACGTACCCCCCCTCGACTTCTGACGCACTGTGGAGAACCTTGATACGCTACGAGCGATGGCCAAGGATTACTTGGCGATCCCTGGCACCTCGGCAGCGTGCAAGCAAGCATTCTCGTAAAGTAGGAACTTGATCACGTTTTAGCGCACACGTCTGAACACCGAGCGTGTGCAAGCGTGCATGACACTGCAGTCTTGGTATGACAGGCACCCTGGTGCTCGGATCGGCGATGGGACAGATCCTGTCCGTGCTGCAGCAGCAGTGGACTTGGGGCTCGAGGGGGAGGGGGACTGCAACATTGAAGTTTTGAAACAGAGTCCTCGCTAGAATTTACACCCACCTGATGCATCACACGGGCCATTCAGGCATGTTTTATGCATCAGATGCCCTAGGTTTTGGAGGTATGATGGATCGGATGTTTCGAAAAAAAGATGTTTTTGTTTTTTTTTTTTCGCTACAATTAAGTTACTTATATATTATAGCACGGAGAGGGAATGGAGAGAGCTTACGGAAATTTTGTGAACAGATACAAGGGTGTTCGGTTTGGGGAAATGGTGAGAAACAGCGAGAATTGTATAGTGAGGGAGGGCGAGGGGGGGTTGGAAGGGTTTTGGGGTGGATTTCTGACAAAAAAAGCAGGAGTTGGAGTAGCGAAATAGTGAGGCAAACATGTGAGGCTAGAAGTGGAGGGGAATGAGGGAGCGCGAAAAAGTGGGTTGCCTTTGAGGGGGCGAGGGGGGAGGGAGAATAGGATGGCAAATGAAATCATTGTTTTTGTTTTCTTCAGGAAAGCATTGCAGGTTTCAAATGAACACTGAAAACACTTCTAATCAAACAAATGAAGCAAAAAATGCACTTTTGATCAATCAGATGAAATGAAAATTCAAATTCTAAAATGTCGTATATGCATAAAAGTCAGTCTGAAATCTAAAAAAAAACAAACAAGACAAAAGCAAGGAACCTGTTCTGAAATATTTCTTGATCGCCATTCTTCTTGCTGGACTCTCATATGCTTGAAGCATTGTGAGGAGCACCATCCAAGCCTTTCCTCAAGAGATAAGAATCAGAGATTTGATCTTCAACACACTCTTCACTGAGCACCAAACGAGAGAGCTTGCAAAGCTTTAAAAGTGACCCTGAACCAGCATGGAGTGGAATGACGTGTGCCATATATCGTGATCAACAAGGATTTAAGTCACAGAGTGGGTTTTAACAAAGTAAGTCTTTCCCAACACAAGCACACTCTCTTCTTGGCCAACCCACATCCAATCACATTTCTCAACTTGCATCATACTCCAATCAGATTCCCAGCTCCGTTACAAGCCAAAATGAAGATATCAGCTTGAGTGTGATTATTGTCATAAATGTTGCAACATTCGACTTGCCATCTGGACTCCACCCTCATCTCTGCTTTCTGACAATAGAAAGGCTGCCCTTGCTATCGCATCTCATACCCTCCGGGATATCAACTAAACGGTGCGCCTCCTGGAGCTTCCCTTAATCACAGCCTCAGTCCTTCCAATGTGAAGAAAGTGGTTATTGATAGCAACCATTTGGTGCCAGTCCAACAAGAGGGTTTAGTGGCTTTCCTCAGTCCTAAGGGGATTCGTATGTCATTCTTTGGCATCTTACTTGTGCCCTCACTCGGTGCAAATCTTCTCTCTATTGGTCAGTATCACTATTTCTTTCTCAGATGGTTCAGTGTAGGTTCGTGCTCCAACTGGGCATACTATTGCGTGAGGAGCTCGCAATGGACGTCTCTATCGAGTAGAGATCCATGCATAGTCGGTGCCAAGCCCTATAGTAGTCTCTCGGTTGCTACTGCTACCACCTCAACAAGACTCCATTCTGGTACATCTGCATCTCCTTACACTTGGCATTGTCGTTCCAGTCATCGTGAAGAGTCCAGTGTTACACGCATGGAAGCACACGCAAGCGTTGATGGTCCGATCATCTCCAAGCATTGTCATCCTCTCAGTCATCGTATCACACTTGAGTTGAGGTTGAGCTTCTTCGTCATCCGTTCTATTCTTCTAAGTTTAAAGTCTCTCGACCACTTGAGCTCATTCATAGTGACCTAATTGGTCCTTCCTGTACATCGAGTCGTATTGGGAAACGGCATGTAATGTTACTCATAGATCATCCTAGAAAATTTGTATGGATCTCTCTTCTTGGATCCAAAGATGAAGCTCTCAGTGTTGTTCAATCGTGGTTTCCTTCTGTTGAGCGTCGGCTGGGTCTTAAGGTAAAGATCTTTCATTTTGATCAGGGGGAGAGTACATGTTGAATTCTTTCCATTCCTAACTTGCCAACCTTGGAGTTGAGGAGCAATTGTACTGTCTAGCAGCATCGTACTGCTAAATGGTACAACCGTGCGATTTGAGAGATCTCAAGGGGTTTTCTCTCCCATATGAATCTGGATGATTCATGGTGGGGAGGAACTGTTAACCATGCTGCTTGGGTCAAGAATTTTCGGCTCACAAGCTACCTAGTGGGTGTCACACCCTATGAGGAATTGTACGATATGAAGCCTAATGTGTTCATGCTTCGAGTTTTCGGATGCATGGGACAGTACAAAGTGCTGGATGACGAACACAAGTTTGAAAGCAAGGCACCATGGGCCATGCATCTGGGCATGGATAATGAAAGCAAGGGCTGGTTTATGTGCGATCATTTCTTGAAAAGGAAAATTGTATTAAGGGACGTGATCATCTATGAATACATGTCCTCACTATCTTGGAAATCTTCTTTCCCTCTCGTTTCCTCTCAAGTTCCTCCCTTTTTGACCTTTACATATTTCAAACTTCCAACAATCATCCTAAGCAAAGTTCCTGCATCATCACCGAAGCAGCAACACGAAGATACGACTCAAAATCAAAACCAGCAATCATCTCCATCATCTACTCCTACACTTCATCATCAAGAGCAACAGCATTAGCATCCGTCACATCCTCCACCACACCAGCACCAATTGTCAGCTCCACCTACGTTCCCTTCTCCTCCTCCTGAGCCCTCAATTTCTTCCTCCCAGTAGCAGCAATAGCAGCCATCTCTACCCGATTACCTCCTCCTCCTCTTCAATCCTCTCATACTCACCACCACCACCAGCAGCAGAAACAACATCAACCTCCCGACACTCACTCCCTTCAACCTTCCTTCAGTCTCTCATCGTCAATCGGCCCAACGGCTATTGTCCACACGTCCTCCTTCACCTTCGAGATCATTGTCAACTCATACCGTCGATCGTGCAGCCACCACAACACAACAATACCCATCTACGCATATCCAACAACTCCATTCAAATATTCTCTTTGCAAGAGCTTCATCAGATGTCCATTCTCAACTAGCAACACCACCAAAGTCACCCAACCCTATCAACATCAATTTTCCACAACACATGAGCATGTCGCCCTTTGCAGCACCATCAACCTTTCCTACTTTGACTTCTATACACTTCACCTCTCATGTACCGCACTATACTCTCAACTCACCTCCAACTCATTTGTGTAGCGGTCGCACCTGCTTCCAATCCAGGATCTACGTCATCTGTTTCGCCATTTCTCAACTTTCACCCGTGCCTCTTAATCACAAAGAAGCTATGGTAGGAGCATTTATGGAGCAGTGGTTAGCAGCGGAAAAGGAACATCAGGAAAGTCTACTAGAATGTGGGATTTGGATTTTGGAGCCATTATCCAAGGGGAAATGGCATGTGGGGGTAAAGTGGGTCTACTAGGTGAAGGTGGTGGATGATGGGGCCTTGGAGAAGTTCAAGGCTTGTTTGGTTCAAGTTCCTAGTCAAGACTACAATGAGACATTTGATCAAGTCGCCAAGTACACCAGCGTGCCCACTATTCTTGGCATGGTAGTACAAATGGGTCTCCACATCGTTCAGCTAAATATCTCTAACGCCTTACTCTACGGCATTCTTGAGGAAGAAATCTATATGGCTCAGCTTGATGGGCATCATGATGGTATTGAGAGTGTTTGTAGTTCTTGTATTGTCTTAATCAAGCCCACGAGTTTGGTATCATGCATTGGAGTCCACACTGCTGGCACAAGGAAGTCAGACCGTGATGTCAATGAGACCGTGAGGGTCATGGGGTGTACAACAAGGAAGGCATCTCCTGCGATTGCGAAACGGGCAAGGAGGCGGGTTGTTAAGAGGTACAATGGCATATAATTGGGGGGGGTGCTCAGTAAGCTTCTCAGAAGTGCAATCAGCATGGAAGGTAGTGCGTAACGAGCACAGTTGAATAACCAGATCATCCACAGTGCATAACGAAAAGGAGGTCTGGAAAGAGGAAGGGCGGGATGTGGTGGCCTAACGTAGTAGTAGAAAATGGGAGAATTGCATAAGATGACAACATCCAACAACTCCTTTGCCATCTTCACCTGACTGAAGTACTCCCACTCAGTTAGCGGCAGGTGGCGAAGGATAGTGAGATGCGCAGCAGCGTCACACTCTCGCCATCATGTGAAATCTAGGTGAGTCGTACGGTGCTCTTTCTATTGGCCAGCAGTAGCGGTAGTAGGAGGACCACGAAGGGGATGGGAGCTCAGCAGTAGCATGCTCGTACAGCGAGACATCTTGCTGGAACTATCTCTGCATGGGGAGATGCACCTTGACCAGCAACGACGGAAATTCCACCGTATGACCTTCCGCATCGAAGCGTAGGAAAGAATTGGACACTATGGTAGGAGGAAATGAGGGAAAGTGGACATAGAAGGGGGAAAGGGCAGGCTACAACAACTCGAGAAGTAGAGGTAGCCGTGGCGGGGTGAGGCTCGAATGCCAGGGGCAGCTCCGGCGGCTCGGGCAGATGCGGCAGAGCAGTTGCGATAGCGGCGGCGGTAGCTGCGAGCTGCAGTTGCGGCGGGAGCAGCAAACCTCAGCGGCTGCAGTAGCGTGTCGAGAAGAAACAACATGCACTAAGGAGAGTTGGGGGGACACAAAGTACAAGTGTTATACCCTATAAAACCGAACCCTAGACTAGCCTATACATACTAAAATATGTAACCATAAA